GTAATCTGTTTTATTCCACAGTATTTTACTGGATCTCTTTTCTGTCAGCCAGGTGTGTTTTTGCCAACAGAAAGAGGTCTGGATATTCACGTTGCTTCTGAAATAATAATTGATTACTTATATCTTCATCTTGTACTTATGCACATCTTCCCAATCCTGAAATTAACTCATTGGGACTCTAGAGGAGCACATTGTAAAATATCGGTACATTGATTTCTTAGAGTAGGATCTTTCAATTGGAACCAGAGAGTATTCTGACTCATCTAACATGCAAGAACTGAACTGTTACCATGGTGGCCTGCTCTGTGTTGCCTTGGACAGTAGCTGACACGCATCAAAGCAAAGCAACACCTCAGACTTTAACCTCTTTCACCCGACCAGGCAACACTGACCCTGAGAAGCCTCATTTCTGTAACAGCAACCAAATTATTACATATGCCAACAGTAATGTTTTTCATGCTCAGTTTGTGTTGTATGTTTGTTCTGTTTGTGACTTAAGAACCAACTAAAACTCAAAAAACATCTGCAGTAACATTCTGTTAATCATCAGTGATTCTCCAAATATTAATCTGTTATTTATTCTGTTGGTAATATTGATCTCTCTCTCCGATTGCCTTGACATAAAGGCTTCTACATCTTGTCATTTCTTTGTTTAAACACCTAAAAGTAAAGAAAATCTTTATTTGCACTGTGAAAACATTAGAACAGGGAACATAGGTTGTAACTTTGCAAAAATCTGGGCTCTAGAATCTTTCTAAAAGATGTTTCCGTTTTGTGATTTTTCTCATTTGTTTTTCTCTTTTAAGAGAAATGGTTTATATTTCAACTTTGCACATTGATAATTCTCAGATTTAAAGAGAAAAAAAAACATAATTAAACATGAACATTTAGCAAAAATACAAAGCAACAAATAAAGGAGGATTTACTAAGCTTCCCACTACCAGCCAGTAGATGGCAGCATTTTGTTCAAAACTAAATCCCAGGAATAATCTCAGCATCTGTCCCTTGATGTTGGAGCAAAGAACCAGTTTGGGAATATCTGTCAATTCCAATTAGCTTCTTACTTCCTTGATCGCTCTTCGTGTTGTAATTGTTTCTGAGTTGTTTTGCTTCCTATAGTTACAGGCACATTGGGGAGATAATTACAGCCGTGTTGCTCTTAAAAGTCTCATAAAATGTCTGTTAAACGTTTGATGTGCTTTTCTCTGTTCCTCTGTGATGCTTGCTAGTGTTTGCAGTGCCAGTGAGTGCAGCCTTCATTACATTTTTGTTTGCGCCTAAATCAGCCTGTTCCTTCCCAGGTAAAGACAGATCTGGGTGGAGAGGCAGGGATAAAGGTGGAGGAGTTGGTTTGAAAACACCAAGCAGACGGACAGCATCTTCCAACCCCATCCTTTCCTCTCCACCTTCTCCTCCTCCTCCACGCCCTGCTCCTCGCTCTCGTCGCAAATCCAAGTCCCCCTCATCACGTTCTAATCATGCAGGCCCAAGACCGGCCTTGGAAGTGGACAAAATAGGAGGAACGTTCAACCCAGAGGATTTCAGGAAGCCTCGCAGAGAGTCCAGAGACCCGCAGGCACGCCACCGTTCAGAGCTGGATAGGAAGTGGGAGGGTGTTGCCTTGGAGCTGCAGTCTCGTGGAAGCAGGATGAGGTCGGCGGTGTACCAGACCTCAGACCTTCCCTCCATGGTGAAAGCCAAGAAGCAGCAGGACCAGGGTTACAGGAGAGGGCAGATAGACCGCAGTAAACTGAAAGCAACTTTTGTTTGAGGCGCCTGATGATGGGGGTGACTCACAGAGTGTCTGTGACTCTGTGACACTGATGGGCTGACTCATTGACAGCTGATATATTGCCTTGATTTAAAGCTGGAGCAAAGAGCTCAGAAACGACAGCTGTGCAGCTGGTTGCAGACACCCCACTAAGAGCTGCAATTAACAGGAGGCAGGATGAGATTGATCGAAAACTTTGTCCCAGTTCCATGTATGATAACACCTACTGCTCAACCATGGAAATTAATATTAACCACTATACTTAATAACTGTGAAGCGCCTTTCCCTAAAAAAATTTTTCTCTTTACTTTCTGGAAAGAACACAACAGACTACAGACTATAATGTTAATTTGTCTTGACATTTCAAAGAATTGATTTTCATGTTGGGTCTTCCTAAAAAGCTTTGAGTTAAAAGTTTCAAACCCTGAAGCAACAGATCTTTATTTTCTTCCAATATTATTTAATCCTAAAGTTAGACATTCTAATAGGGTCTTTTTAAAAATAAATCTCTAATTTTGTAGACGCATACATATGAGGCTCTCCTATTACACGCATAATGCCTCTTAATCTGTTACAGTTTATATGAGCTTTAGTTTCTAAAATATCTCTATTCTATTCATAATGTCTGCCATATTGTTTGTTCTCACTGTAAGCTAATCAGGCCATTAAACGTGTTGGTCTTTTTTAAGTTATTCTACAAGAAATTATGTTTATTTGCTAATTGATTAGAATGTTTATTATCTTTTCAAATCAACAACTCTAATTAAATTTAGAATGAAAAAATGTATGATCCAGATGGTAAAAAGAGGATGGATCCGATTTTAACTTGGTCACAAAGAGACAGCAAATAATAATAATTATGAAAAATATATATCTTAAAAGTTTGGTGCGACTGATGTTTATTTCACAACTTAATAAAATAAAATTGTCTCATTAATGGTTTTATTCTTATTTTAAATTCAAAAGCAACAAATACACAATTAAGTTAGCAAGTTTAGCTTCATCTAACCTTTATTGGTGTTATTTGGTCTACAGTAACATTAATTTTTGCCCGATATTAAAAATATAGTTAACTTTATTTATTTGTAGAGATAAAGGGATAAATGGGAGTTTAACATTCAAAAGAGCTAGCAATCTAGCTAAAAGCTATTCAATTCAATTCAAATATACTTTATTGATTCCTATGGAAAATCGATTCATGAAATATAAACATATGGATCATTAATAGTGAATAACATTGAAGCTAACTGAAGGTAATATGCTATTTCCAGTCGTCCAAATATGGTCGTTCAAAAATGTGTTGTCTGTTCATTTTGTTCATTTATTCAAATCCTCTCATATAAAATGCTTCACACTGTAAAATACCCTGATTCCTATTCAGCAGAATAGCATTTAATTAAAGTGCAGTTCGTAATAGTAAAGTTTGTTTTTAATTTTTTTAAAACTTTTTTTTCTATGATATTTTGTCACAATATTTATTTGCAAATAACATGAACAGATCATGCATCTGGAATGCAGATGCTTTTTGGACATGTTTAATTCAACATAAAAAAAAATAAAGGGATTTTGTAAAGCAAAGCAATAACTGTTAAATAGATTAATTGAAATTGTAATGTTATTATTTATGTTTTACATCATATTTTCTAGTTTTAAAACAACTGTAACAACTAGTTTGTAGTTTTAACATATAAACAGTAATATATATTATATGATTCTCTTTTATTGATCAGACCAATGCTTTTATAACAATCTAATATAGAATTGGAATTAATTAAGGGCAGACGGGGTGATGAAATGAACTAACTAAGCTTGTCTTTTAACATATTTGTAGAGGTTGTATTTGGACAGAACCTGTTGGCAAGAAAAGAAAAAATGTGCAGTTTTTTTCTTACTTACAGGTTAAATTATGACCATGGGCCGTCTGACTTAAATACAAAAAGAAACAGACTATGTCCAGTGTTTTTACAGATGAACCTGGAGAACCTTTGATGAAATGGCTTAATGCAGTGATTATTCAGAAGTTAAGGTAAGAAACAATTTTAACCATAAAACACTCTTTTAAAAGAAAATTTTTCACAGGAAACATCAAATGTATCCATCTTCTTATATCTGAATTAAAGGACAGGCGATAAGTGGTAAAAATAACAAAAAGATCATACATAGACTATATGTAAGGACTCATAAAAGAGGACCCAGAGTTCAGGTAAGGCAGAAACTGGAATAACTTAAAAACTATTTATGTCTGCGGTAGCAGCGGCTAGGGCGTCTAAGGCAGGAACGTCTGTAGGAGGAAAACACAGGTTAGTGACCACGATAAACTGATGGAGGATGATTATTAACATGTAAGTCACTAACCTGGTTTTATAGTTCAGTCTGTGCCCAGAGAGCGAGGTTGATTCCAGCCGGTCGGCTGACAAGACGCAGCCAGAGAGTTCCAAAGGCGGAAGCCTAGAAGGCTGCAGAACTGGCAGGAGGTCAGACTCAAACAGACAAAGGAAGGCAAGTTAATCCAGGTCAAAGTCAGAAGGCAGATCCAGGTTCAGTCCACAAGAAGAATCCGGCAGATGTCAGAAGACAGGTCAGGCAAACAGATCAGACAGGGGCAGGCATGCTCAAAGGTCTGAATACAAAACGGGTCAGGATCAGACAATCAGAACCCAGCAAGTTACGCCAGAAAAACTCATCAAAAGGCTCAAGAATAATCTGGCACTGGTGGCTGGGAGCAAGGAAGTTTAAGTAAAAGCAGGAGCAGGTGGATCAGAAGAGCAGTGATGAGAAACAGGGCAGAGCTAGACAGGTGAACGAAATGAGCAATCAAGCCAGCCATCAGTGCCAAAATCATTATAACTTTACCACTTGATTCAACATAATGTAAAAATGAATGGTTATGCTGTTTTAATAAAACATTTTACTGTTCAGTAAATATATTTATTTGTCTGTCTATACGTCTCCTGCCAGTTTTAGCAAGTTAACATTTATTCACACAGACAGATCTGAGCCTCAGCAGATCAGTACTAGGCTACACAAATCCCTGTCTTACAACCGGCTGAGAAAAAGCAACAGGAGTTAAGTGAAAGGTGTGCAAGTTATGCGCTTTTAATCAAATTAGCTACATTGCAGACAATAAGCACTTTAAGTGGATTGACAACTGTACCAAGTTGGCAGTGGGCTGTTGACTCTCCCTGCCCCGGGGTCTTAATGAGAGGGAGGGAAAGTGTCTGCTGTCTGGACCCTGGGCTGGAAGGCTATTTTGAAAAGTAGCCCCCTCTTTTTCTCACTCTCTCTTGGACAGAAACACACATGCACACACAGCTGCTCGAAACCATGGTAGAAGATGACGGATACAGTTGTCGCAGAGGGTCAAGTCAAGTTTAGAGATGGAAAAAAGGTTAATTCTTCAAGTTTTCATACGTTTTTTTTTTTTGCTTTGAAATGTCTTCTTCCCCCTCAGCCCACAAGAGGATAAAACGTATTGATTTATTGTTTCTGAACAAACTTCTCCACAGTGGAAGACTCGATGGGTTGTTCTTCAGAAGCCCTCCCCAGTCGCAGGTAGGAGTTAACAGTTGATGTCAATGCAGCAGAATCCACGCATTTTCACACAAACGCAGATCTTTTCATCTGCTTCATCACCCAGCACTGATCTGTTCAAATTTTCTGCAGTTAAATTAAGCACAGCATGCCAATTGATCCCATGATGCATGCCTCGGGATTCAACACATGAGGATGTTGTTCAAGCTAAACTAAAAAACAAACTGATTGGTTTCCATTTTGATTTCAGTCCTTCCAGTTTCATACACTGTTTGTGTTTCTCCGGAATGAACTCAGATTGTTTTTGAAAAATTTTTGATCACGTAATTTGATAAAAAATCATAAGCGTGGCTAAAGTGTGAAAGCCAGGTAGGACATTCTTGTAATTGCTTTCTTTTGAGTAGAAAATAATTTGGTATGTTATAAGGACTGTCTGAAAATCGTTCAGCACAGATAGAAATGTAGCCCTGCATGTGTCCTTGAAGAAACTGGCAAGAGTGGTGGGAAAAACCTGAGCTCCTCTCCACTGCTCTCAGTGTGCATTACGCCATGTGAGCATACTTCTAGCTCAACTTTTATTTTCAGCTGTGCAAGTGGATCAGTTCTGTAGTTTGGGTTTTTTTTCACAACACATCGGTAGACAGGCATGGGCGGCTTTTAGCAAACCAAATGATCGCATTTCATCAGAAAAATCTGTGGCCTTTTTAAGTTTGTTTCTTTATGTTTCCCTTAGACTGCTTGACTTTACTTGTGTGTAAAGAGAAGAAGAAAGGGAAAAGCAACGGACACAAGGAGAGGCTCAATGTAACACTGGAGGTATGTTCAGCATCAGGTCAAAGCTGTATTCCATCTGATCTCTGGCTGAAGATTTCCTTTGTTTTTTCATTTCATTGCAAAAACACTAGAGCTTATTATTCATATTTAAGATACCCTAAAGATGTTTATCACAAGGTAGGGAAGGAGGAATAAAGTGCTAGATTATCTTTTATCCAAATAATAAAGCTGACAATAGTTTGAAGGATCCTATGTCACATTTAAATGCTCCTCAGTGTTTTATCTGAATGAGGAACAAGATTTCTAATGATTTTAAAGATGGAAACATAAGAAGTGTGGCATGCACCTGTTTACAGTTCCTCTAGGTCAATTTCTTACAGAGCCAGATTTGCAGTTTCACATCTGGAGTGTTTCATCTTGTTTTAAACATCTATTTGCACAAAAACAAAACAGCCTTGTCATGATAGATCCTTTCAGATTTGATAGAGAGCTTCTGTGAACATACATTTAAAACCTGAACACAGTAAATCAGTTGTATTTAGGCCCTGACTTTGACTAGGACATTCTACCCCCTGAGTATATATATATATATATATATATAAACTACTCAATATTGCTGTGGCTGTTTGTTAAGGTAAACCTTCACCCAGTTTTTAACACTCTAACAGATTGTCTTCCAGTGTTGGGCTGAATTCAAACAGCTCCCCTGACCCTGCGTAAGAAAAGCACAAAGCCTAGCATAGGAAGGATTTCCTTTGTCAGTTTCCAAAAAAAATAATTTGGATAACATTTTTAATGTAGGTCGGAGGGTTAAAACTTGACTTCCTGAGCATCTTCTTCCACATATTTGGATTGTTCCTTCAGGGCTTATGACAAAGCTAAAAACAAATTTCTTCTGGGTTTTATTTAATAGCATCATTCTCTTTGCTCCACCATGAAGGGTAGATTTATGTAGTGTATAACAGCTGGTTTTCATGTCTCGGATGTCCTGGCTGAGTGTGGATTCCAGAGTTATCAAAGGCCTCTTGGCTGATTATCTGATTAATGCTTTCCTAAACAATCAGCTTACTGTCTTTTTACATTGGCTGTTATTTAAGGGTTATGCAAGATGCTGGGTGAGAGAAAATATTCAGAAAAACATATAATATCCATATCTGTCAGGGTTCTGCCCTTTGTTAAGGTTTATTTTGAAGATGTTTTCTGGCAGTGTTGTGTTTTTGTGTTACTCTCTGTTGCCCCCTTGTGCCAGCTTCCTTTCCCCTTGGCTTCCTTCTAGTTACTTCTATCCACACCTGCTCCAGATCAGCTCATTAGCCCATTCTCTGTTCTGTTCCACATATATACACCACCTCTGCACTTCCTCATTGCTGGTTTCTTGTTGCTTTGTTGTGACTTGGCTCATTGTGTGTGTTTCTCCCGGGCATCTCCTGGTTTTTTGCTTTTCTGTATTTTGATTTTGGATTTTTGCCTCTGCTGCCTCATCTGTGAAATTTGGTCCTCAAAAACCTCTACCAAACCTTGACAATATCTTGTTAGAAACGTAGCTGTTTGAGGACATCAGGTGAATAATTGATCATGATTTCAAACATATCACCACCAAAGCAAAACACACACAACTCCAAGGATGATGTGGTCAACCTGCTCTGAATCTTTTGTGTCATTCACTTCTGCTTTCAGGGGATTTGTGGTGTAGAGCCAGGGCCTGGGTACGATGGTGTACCCTACACTCTGTCCATCCTCTGCCAGGCAAGAACACTCATCCTGGGCTTTAGAAACAGAGACGCAATGCTGGCCTGGGATGCCAGGATCCGCTACAGCTTAGGCGAAGGTCAGTGGCTCAGCCTCATGTTCATAACACAGTCCCAATGTTATTCCAAGACATGAAGAATCTGTCTGTCTATCTGTCTGTCTGTGAGACTAAAAGGTTTGACACCATTGGGATTATTCTTTAATATTCATGAACATGTTTGTGAAACTCATCAATACTTAGCTCTTTAAATATGGCAATTTCCATTCAATAAATGTAGATAGTTTTTCCTACCCATAGTATCATGTTATAAGATATAAATTATAATGTTATATTTAATCCTCCTCAGGAGTCAAATTATTTGAAGCTGAAATCCCCTTTTGTTTTGATAATAGTAATCATCTTCACTGTGTAAGTCACAGTGTCAGGGAAATAGAATGGGGACATGTGGCGTGACCTAAATAGATATAATAGTTTATATAGATACTAGATAATAAAGAGGGCCAGGATGACAAAAGGGAAAACATCTTCAGTCGTAACTGGAAGAGCAGCAGGCTGCTTAAAGCAAAACTGGACTTTTAGCATAATGACACACCCTATCAGATAGACAAACACGCTGTGACAGATATGTTAACAGATGTCACTATAACAAACTGCTAAATTAGTAGTTTTTGGCTCATATTGATTATTTTTTATGCCAGGGAAAACCTCTGACAAATGTTTATTTCGTTTGCCTAAATTAGATAAAATTATCAAAGTTTAAGACCTGTTTAAGGACAATATACAGTAAAAATAAGTGTTACTGGTATAAAGAGTGGTTGCAATGAATGAAGCAATTCAAAAAAGGAAAGTAAATAAACAGTACCAACAATATTAGTTCCTTGATGAATCTAAACACAAAGTAAAAATTTCTTTATGAGACATAGGTAAGCATTAATTAGGTTTATCTCTACATCAACTATGTCAATAAAGGGGGTTGCTCTCAGAATAGGGTATTTTTATGACAAATGCACGGTGGGGGAAGTATTAGCAATGTAAACAGTGTAACCTTGGTATAAAGTTGATCTCTAGCATGATAATGATCACTTATGTGGTGACATAGGAGACCCATATTATGGATTTTCAGGAGGAAACCTGCCTTTATTCTTAAACAAAAAGGAGAAAAATGTTCCTGGAACCAATGTATGACATCGTCTGTTTTCATCTCCATCTGAGGTTTTATGTAGGTGCTTTTCTTAAAGGTTAATGACTCATTAGTTACCCAAAGCCTTTTGTGACTTGATGAGAAGGTGAAACTCTTAGGGTTTTTTTTATTTTTATTTTTTATTATTATTTTAAATTCCTTCTGGTCTCCTCAGTCCACAGATTCCTTGTCAGTGTGGAACCAGGCACCCAGCTGGATAGTGGTCCTGCCAACCTTCATCTTTGCAACAACCAGTTGGTCCTCAGCAGAGGCCTGCCTCCGGTTGTTATCGGTTACTGGCTGCTTTCGGCGCTGCGTCGTTATGGAGCTGTACCAAATGGCTTTGTGTTTGAAGGAGGGACACGCTGTGGAATCTGTAAGTGAACACTAACTGGGAAGCTTTCACTACTAACCTTTAACGGTGGCTAATAGTACAGAAGGAGGAGAGTTAGAGCAACTGGATTTAAAGTCTGATGAAAATACGGGTAAACTAAAACTTGCAAACTTCTGTTTCTAAGAACATCAGTAAAGATCGTCATGCAGGCTTGGTTTATGTTAACCAAGATAAGGAATTCAGTTGATTACTTACACCTTGCTTGACATAGCCACACCTGTGGAGCCTGGTTGGGTGTTGGTGGACAAATGAAGCTGGGACACACTCCTCATGCTAGGTCAAGCCTGCCCTCAGTCCTGCAATATCTAAGTTCAGCTTTTGTAAAATAGGCTTCTGATTTCAGATTACTGGGCTGTTGTGAAACCAACAGCATGTCATTTTATTTTATTACTAGTTTTGGACTTGAAACCTCAGCCTAACCATTAAATTACCTCTGTCACCTGTTTCTAATGATACTACATCCATGTTTGAAAAACAGGACTTATGATAGAGTGATTGTGCTGATTTATCTCTTATTTCAAAGATAGTTTCAGTCAGTACTATCCTTTAGATGTTTTTGGGAAAACCACACCAACTGTCAAATTAAAGAGGGACTTTGAGTAAAAGAAAAAACAAAACAAAGTATTTTCTTTACATTGTTAAGAAGTAAAACCTAAGAACAAGAGTCCTGTTCATTGTTGGAATACAATTTTTGTTATGTTGACAAATGAAAGCCCATTTAATATCTGTTTAGCTCTCATAGAACTGTCATACCAGCACCAATAAACTGTTATTTATTGCAGCCCTTTTTATAGTTGTATATTTCAGGAGTGTCTTTGTGTGTCTACCAAAGCCTGCGGTGATTGTCGTTTTTGCCAGGGTTCAGGAATCTCCTGAATGTCAAACTGATGGTGGGCATGAATGTGAAGAATGTCAAACAGCTTCATATATTTAGAGAAGGGACTGGAGCATGGCTGAAATGTCAAATTAAGGAGAAACTTAAGTTACTAACAGCTGCCAACCCTACTTTCTTTGGTCCCTTGACAGAATAGGACTATTCTTCTCGCTGTAAGATGAATCTAGAGATTTAGAAACTCTTTTCACTTTTGCCATGCCAGTCTTTTCCAGCGGGTGAGTTCAGGTGTGAGAGGACACGAGAATAACCATGATGTTTTCAGGCTTGGGTTACAATGTTCTCATGAGAGACAACTATAAATATCAGAGCTGGACCTTCAGCCAATCACAAACAGCCTTTTGGCTCCGTAAACAACCGCAGAGTCCTTCTTCATTTCATCAGAATATTCCCCAGCAGAGATTGGGGGGAGAGGGCAGACAGACCTCCTCTCAGCGTGGCGGCAGAAGCCAAAGTGAAAGAATCAGAAAGGTTTAGTTGGAATTTAAACGTGACATTCCTTGCATGACTTTTAGGCTGAGTGTTAGTTGAAATGTTTATTTGCATATCTGGAGTCATGATGTCACATTCCAAATGTAATAAATTGCTTAAGAAAGGAAAGTTAAATGCTTAACAAGATGTGGACATGACTTAATCTTTTGCATTTCTCAAATTAATAAAAAAGTATGCTGTTAACATAGCACCAACACACAACAATTGCATTAAGCCTAAAAGCAGTAGCAGAGAAATTACTTCACCCAACTCAATCTAAAGTCATGTTTATATCTCTCTTTTCTTAAATATTTAATAAAATAGTTTGCTGATAAGTTTTTCTCTTTGTTTTTACACCAATTAGTCTAAAAACTGAGAAATAAACTGGCTCAGTAATTCCTTATTATACGTTTTATTTCACAGCTGTTTAATCTCCTTTGAGACCTCATTTGCTCCAACAAACCAGTTGGTAAATCTGTCATTGCTGTACTTTGCATTTGCAGCTGGTCCCTTCTTTTTTATTTTTTTTATGCTAAATAAAACCAACAGCAGCTCCCCTTTATGTTGTAGTTTCTTTATGCAGATAAAGATGATGCCAATGATACATCGATATCACTTTTATTGCTATGGAGACATGCAAACACATACATACACAGCGAGTCATCCCATCCTTTGTGACAGCTGGGTGCTCTACTGTACACTGGATGGCAAACACTTCAGTTCAGGGTTGCTCTGTAAACTGTATCTAATATTTCCTTCTGGGTGTGTTGGCACATCCAAATACTCTTTAGAGATACAGTATCTATACAATCGTTAAAATCAAGTCATGATACATATTTATTGGCATTTATTGGGCTCTAGCCTGAAACATTCAATTGAAAAGCTATTTAAAAAAAAAAAAAAATTGAATTCATCTTCCTGTCTCCCTGAGTTCACACCAGCTGCCATTAATTCAGATAAACCTAAAATACAATCCAAATCCTACTGTAGCAGTTTCCTGCCAAAATTGTACATTTTCCTGGTTCAGCTAAAGCCTGAATCACCTAAATACGTGACAAACAGAATCTGAGATAACAGTCAGAAGATTAAGAAAGTTTCACAGCATCAGTCTCTCTGAATCACCCTGAGTAATCAGTAGATTTTTTTCCAACCAGGTTTCCTTGTATAGGTGCTACTCTGCCTCTCACCCAACAACTGCTAAAGATTGACATCAGCCTTTAACACCCATGCAAAGAAAAAAATTGTTTACACAATGCAGGGGTGTATGCCATAAAACAGAAAAACTGATTTCACCAAATGAAAACCATGTTTGTATAGCACTCATTCACAATAGGTACAGCAAAGCTTAATTATTTGTAGGCCTATTGCACATGTTAGTAATCGGGCGTTTTAAAGTGCTGCACATAAACAGAATATAGAAAAACAAAACACAGGAAAGTAAATTGCAGTGGCATAATGAAGGCAGTAAAAATTTAAATGGACTACAAAGTTAAACTAATGTCTCAGTTAACACTTTACATAAAACGTTCAGTGTAGGGTTTCAGCACTTTAAAAAAAACAACAAAAAGTTATAAGAAAATGGATTTGACTCCTTTGTATGGATCCATACCAACAGAACTAAAGCTTCTAATCTAAACTAAATCAGATGGAGATCATAGCAAAATTACTCATAAAACCATAGGGGTCACAGTTTGAGATATAAGGATAGATATGCTACTTTATTAATTTTACATTCCGTTGCTTAGTTTAGTAGCTTATTTGCATGTATATATCACATCAAAAACAGAACATCCATGTACCGTTCCTCCATCCGGCTCACAGGGACTGATATCTACAGTATCTCCAGCAGTCTATGGGTGAAGGGTAAAGTACATCCTGGAAAGGTCAACAGTCCATTGCAGCACAATGCACAAACTCCTGAGGTCAATTTAGAGACACCATTCATCCTAGCAGTCATGTTTTTTTATGACTGTGGGAGGAAGCCTGGGAGGAAGCCGGGGTATCCAGAAAGGACCCATGCATGCATGTAAAGCACAGGCCAGAGAAAGCTCTCGACAATTCCACAAAATTCAGCAATACCGGACAATACTATTAGCCTGGAGGGCTCACGCTATGCTGTACCAACAGAAAGAAAGAACCCAGCAGTAACAGTCGCGGTGGTGGGCACTGTGTTTACATCAACAACAGCTGGTGTAAAAATGCTAGATCGGTCGCCAGCTTCTGCTCTCCAGATATTGAGTTTCTGACTGTTAACTGGAGACCTTTCTATCTGCACAGAGAGTTCAGTGTGGTTAGCTTTACTGCTGTTTATGTGCCCCCCAGTGCTAACACTAAAGAGGCCATGAGGACTCTATACCAGGCTATCTCTGAGCTCCAATCTGCACACTCAGAGGGCATTTTCATAATTGCTGGGGATTTTAACCTGGCTTACTTGAAGGCTGTGCTCCCTCATTTCTACCAACATGTGGACTTTGTAAATCTGCCTTCGCAAGGCAAACGGGCGATCACAGTCTACAACACCCCTCCCCCTGGTAGATGCAGCAAATGCTGACTTCCTGAATGAACTAAACCTCCTCAGAAGATTTGAGGCATTAAACAGCACTCCAGCAGTGAAAGCTGTACCAAACCAGGGGGAGGAGGTTCTCAACCTTGACGTAGCTGAAGTGAGGAAAACTCTGAGGAGAGTCAACCCAAGAAAGGCCCCTGGCCCAGATAACATACCTGGGCGGGTGTACAAGGAGCATGTAGATAAGCTGGCTGGTGTCCTCACAGACATTATTATCACCTCGGTGGACCAATCAGGTCACCTCACTAAGTGATTCCTGGCCTGTCGCACTGACTCCTATCATGATGAAGTGCTTTGAAAGGCTGGTTAAAGAACACATCATCTCCAGTCTCCCCCCAACATTCGACC